GGGCGCCGCTTCCGGGGCGATGGGGGCGGGGCGCCCCGGAGTCTGGGGTGCTGGAGCCGGCTCTAACTTTCTTCTTCCTCCGTCGCCCCTTCTCTCCCTCCCTCCCTGCACGAGGAAGCTTCCTGGCGTGCGCGGCCGTCCGGGGCTTGCTCCTCCCCTTCCCTGTCCGCTGTTCGTCAGCAAGAGGGAGGTCGATGGGAAGGAATCTCTGGTTGGGCCCTAACCTCCACAACCCCTCCTTCTAGCCTCACTCTTTCGCTACCGCCCCCCCACCGCAGTTTTGACGCAATATCGGGAGCGCGCACGTACGTCACGCTCCGCGAGAGCTGGCGATGAGTGGCTGCGCAGGGCGAAGGAGGCGGGAAAAAAGATGCCGCATGCGCTGGCGTACTCGCTCCCGCCAAGGACCGGCGATCCGCACCGGAAGTGGCGTCAAGTAGAAATCGCTCCGCTTCCGGTGAGGGGTGGAACTGCGTGTAAAGAAGGGTTAAAGAAAGGAGAGGAGTCGTGCGTCGCCCCCTCCTGTCGTCGAGACTGTCCCAGCGGTGGCACTCCCGCTGGGTCTGTTGCTAGCGGTCAACGCGCATGTCCGGCTCTGACTCTCTACAGGCACCTCCCAGCCTGCTTCTTGTGGGAGAGGTCATGGCCCAGGTGACAATCCCTGGAGATCTTGGGAGGAAGAGTACGTTGGTGGCTTTCTGGGCTGAGCAGCCTCCCAGTCCGAGCCTCACCAAGATCGGGACAGCCGCTCTGGGAGAAAAGACGCCGCGCGAAGGAGGGCGGAGGTGACGTTAGTGTAGCCGGTCCCATGGACACCTAAGTTCTAGCCTCAGCCTAAAACTATACTTGGTAATCAATCACAGCCTCGGGCATCGAAGACTCTGAAGTTTGCTTTAGAAAAACAAAACAACAAACTTTAAATCGGTCTGGGGGATATATGGAATATCAAAAGAGACTACTGAAAATGCCAAAATTTATTTACCAGAGGCCTTCATGTAAAAATACGTAGGAACGAGGGCTGCTTCCTGAGCACTTCATCCTCTTTCACCTTAATATGTAAACCTGTGAGATGACCAAACATAACTGTAAAACAACCTTGCTTCGCATTTCTTGCCTTATCAGGATTGCCCTTCAGTCATAGTCTGGGCACTCAGGATAATTAGATTACAATCTAAATGGCTTATTGGCTTTTAGTATTGTCGGAAATGAAAGCTAAACAATTTGTTCAGAGATTATATGTTGTGATCCCTTTGCAAGTGTATTTGTTCAGCTCATCAGTTGGTTCATAGTTATGAAGTTACCCATCGTACATATACAGTATTAGTGTAAAATTTATCAGCCTGACATCACTAACACAGAATGGACTGCTCTAAGCTAAGATCACACGTCATTGAATACAAAGGGATGTTTGCTAAAGGAAAAGGCCTGAGTGGGCCACATGGTGGGGGTAGGATTGGTAAACAACAGAGAAGTAGGAGATAGGTTGCCTAAAGCAAATGTCTCTTAGTACTGCTGAATGAAGGTCCTATAGCCAATTTTCTATTAATCTTTCAAAAAAACTAGGATCAACCTGCCCCAATATCAGCAAAAGCTGGGCTAGCAGAACAAAAAGTGCAAAAGGATAGGTTTATCTAGCACTTTGCCAAACCCCTTACCGGGACCACTTGATGTCATCTGCCGAATATTCACAAAGAAAACTTGGTCCACAGTAAATGGATTCTTTCCAGTCTCAGCAGCAAGCAGAAAACAAATATTTTCAGTGGAGTTCTGCCACCACATCTTAAAGAGTCTTAACTTGGGAAGGACGTGAATGAAGCATTTTTGAGCTCCTCAAAGGCTCTTTCCACATGCTTTGAAATACTCATAATAAGATTTAAATTACATTAAACAGAAATAAGCTTTAAATGGGAAGCTATATATTTCTATAAGCCCATCTGCTTTCCTACATAGATATTTGAAATTGTCTTTTGGGACTATATTTTTGTATTTTGCTGGTTGTTTATTGCCTCCTGGTTTTAAAAAATGAGGCAGTATGGTTGTTTTCTGTTTTGTTTTTTGTTTTTTGTTTTGTTTTTTGCTTTATCTGACAGGTCATATCATACCATATCAATTGTTCTTACAGTGTAAGTTCCTTTCAGTAAATTTGCATAGTCCATACTATTTGATTTTTTTTTTCTTTTGGTACCGGGGATTGAACTTGGGTCCTTGCGCTTGCAAGGCAGGCCACCGAACCACTGAGCTAAATCCCTGGCCCATAGCCAGTGCTATTTTAATAATGTGAAATAATTTGTCTTTCACTTCACTTGTATCACAAATGTACAAAGGAGTTTTCCAGAGGCAAAATGATATAACATCATTTCTTTGGCTAATATGTGCTTGTAAGCTCAGCTGTTTTCTAGAATATTCTAAGGTGTTAGGTTTCTAAAATGTGTAAACATTTGGAATATCTACATAAATCAGTGAATCAGTATTTTCCAAGGAAACAGTAGGTGATGGTACAGATAGTGAGCAGATTTGTTAAAAGTACAAGACAGACAAAAACTTCATTTAAATTCTTTCAGATTTCACATGGCAGCTAATTTATAAGAAATTATCGTGCAATTTTGATAAAGTATCAAAGAATAAGACAGTTACAAACCCCTCCCCATTTTCTACAACATACCTTGTCATATATTTTCATCAAAACAACACATTGCAGCAAATTGGATAAACAGGGAGATAAGAGAATCGTTTCCCTTACATTAGTTAAGTCAGGTGATAGAGTTTGCAGAAAGTTAAAATGATAAACCTCTAAATTTTTTTCATTTTTTACCTACATTTATTTTCTTTTCAATGTTATTTAGCTGAGCATGATCATACATACCTCTACTTTCAGCACCTAACAGACTGAAGCAGGAGGATCACCACGAATCCGGCCTGCTAACCTAAACCACATAGTGAGATCCTATCTCAAAAAATAAAAAGGCAAGGGTCAGGGATTTAGCTCAGGGGTTCAGTGGCCTGCCTCGCAATGCAAGGACTTGAGTTCAATCCCCGAGTGCACACCTGTATTCCCAGCACTCGGGAGGCTGAGGCAGGAGGATCACTGTGAGTTCAAGACCAGCCTGAGCTACATAGTTCCAGGGCAGTCTCATAGTACTACATAGTGAGACCCTGTCTCAAAAAAACAAAAACAAAAAAGCAAATAAATATATTTTTTGTGCTAATATAGGGTCATTCTTATTTTAAATACATGATTTTTAAATTTCTTCTAATTTCTAGCAGTCATTATCAATACATATGACTCATACACAAAAGTTCTTTGCAGTCTTCGTAGATATTAAAGGGCTTCATACCAAATACTAAAACAAAAAATCATGGTTCTTCCCTTCATGCTTCCTGTGATACAAAGAATCTCTAGTATGATTCTACAAGAGCAAACATGTCATGCACAATCATTCTACAATCTTATAACTCGGAATGCAGTTATCTGTCAACATTACTCTTCTATTATGGCTG